GGGGAACAGGGGAAGGGACCTACGTAACTGGCTCCTCTCTTATTACCCTGTCTTTTCCATTTCTTTCTCCTCCCTGTTCCAGATGGCTCTCATCACCTGGACGAGTGATAATGTCTCTTGCCATCGTTTAATCTTTAAAACTGGAAAACATCACAATGTCACTCAAAGCATTACATAATGGAAGCTATTGAAACTTAGAGGTCCCTTTCTCTCAAAATTTAACTTTCAAGAATGTCATTTTATCCAGCACTGAAAGAAAGCCCTAATTTGATGATAAGTATAGAATAATGACTTCCTTTTTCTAACTGGCATTTACCCATCACCTAAAGACTGAGAAAGGTTGAATCAGTGAATGAAATCCATAAGGAGTCATGAATTAAAGGGAAAGGAAGAGCATATTATTTTAATGATGGAGTTTAATTTCCTATATAATAATATAATGCACACATGTGCCTGTCGGAGTGGTTTGCAGATTATGTCAGCTGGATCATTTGCTGTCACTTGGCCACTTACATGGATCTTATGAACAGCAGGAGTCTGCTCAGTCTGCAAAAGTGGTCCCCAGACAAAGTCTATGTTGAAACTTTTCCCAAGACCTCTGTCTTTCCTAGCCATTATGTTTCCTTGTTTGAAGCATCTACCAATTTCTATCCTTATGGATTTGTATAAACACACAGTAAGAGTTAACTAGCAGTTTTTGTCAGTCTCTTTGGTTAGGAAGTAGCCTTCAACCCTCTACATTAGAGGAAGCTGTAAAGTTCTTCCAAGCAAAACTCCTTCAGAGCATTATCGGGACATTTAGCAAACATGGACTGTGAGTCTTTCTGTATCAAACCGTCGATCTAGGAATGCGGCATCTCTCTGTCATAGTACGGAGTGTGGAGGAGACAAAGAGTGCATTGGAAGAACATCAAATATACCACGCAGCAGATTGCCCCCAAATACACCTTATTTTCTTATTTGTGAAAAATGTTTGTGCTTTGTAGGATCTGTTTTAACAATGTCCATATCAGTGCCACCTGATAACACAGTCATTATTGTTCTCCTTAATTCCTAAAAGTAAGTACAGTTTTACTCAGAATGAATTTGCAGCACTGTAGGGGCTGGTGGACTGAAGGGAGGCCCAGTGAGGCAGGGTTCCCAAAGAAAAGAACGCACATGGGGCAGACATTACAAAGCAGGAACCAAACTTTAATTTCCAGCACAGAACTTATAGTAGCTCTTTATCAGCTTAGCTAAGACACAGTAAGACAAAACATTCTGGGTGAGCTTGCAGGCCATGTGGCACCTGTGTGGTTGTGCTAATTCATTATGATAGAACAAAGCCCCATCCATCGTGTGCCTGCACTAAACGACGGGACTGTGTCCTCAGGTGCCCTCAGATGCCCCCTGGGCTTTGACACATCTCACAGCAGCCTCCTACACCTTTACCCTTTTCTGCAGCCTGGCTTGTCCCTCTGTGTTCTTGATTTCTACCAAGCTTTGCAAAGACACAGCTCCCTCCCTCTGATTATCTATGACCTGGAATCCTTAAAATTCATGGAACCACTTTCTTCATGGAAACTTCTTGGGCATTCCTAGTCAATGCTGATGCAGATTCTTCTTCTGAGCTCCTGTCACAAAGCTGTCCTTACCTCACTGACCGCAAAACTAGACCAAGAGCTGCGTCCATGTCTCAAATTTATTTGTATCTTCCATAACACTTAGAAAAATGATAGGCCAGTTGAAGGTGCTACATAAATTAATACACACATGCCATGGGCCAAGCCTGAAGATGGCCCTTTCCCTACTCCCTTTCTCCTCCATAGACTGAATAATCAAACAGACACAATCTGTTTGACAAAGATTGTAGACCCTGGATGGCACAGCCCCAGGAGATAGTTACATCATGTATCCTTCTTCCTGTTCCCTTTCCGCACATGCGCGGTCATGAGATAATCATGCTATGTTCAGCCTAGGCCACTTTGGCCACGTAGCACTAGTTATCCTGCCATCTCTTCCTGTTTGTCTTACACTATAAATAAAGAGCACTCTGGACTCCAGGTGGTCATTAGCTCCTAATAGGCCATGGCTTCACCTGGTCTCAGCTTTCAAGCATAATCTTGGTATGTATCCTCTTTGTTGTATTTCAATTTTGTTCATCTCCCACCACTCTTCCTGGGTTCAGACCCTAAACTGTGCGAGTTGTGGCATACACACTTATCCATGATACTAAAAATAGTTAACACCTAGTATGGCATGGACACTGACCATTGACAAAGCCTCTACCAATTAATATTGTCTGAATATCAGCCATGCTTTATATACATCTCAGATGTGAGCATCTCAGATGTTCACAATGCCATATAGGGTGCACACAGTAATTCCCATTGTACAAATGGAAGATGAAGGGACTGGGTTTCAAAAAGTTGAAGTTAACTGCTCAAGGATATGCAACTGATGATGACCCCAGGACTCTCTTCCTTAGCACTTGAGCTCTCCCTACTGTACTGCACCAGTTACCTGCTGGGTGGTGGATCAGGTCCTCTGACCCCTCAGGCTGAGGTGAGCTTTTCAAAGGAGAAGAAGTTGAATGGCTGTTGAGTCTGACCTGGGTATGTGGATAATCAACGCACTTAGGCTAAGCCATCTGCACAGTGGGGACCTGAAAGTCCTGGGGAACTATCAGTCATAGGCAGTTTGTGCATTACCTTGCTCGGGTCAGATGATGTGGTCAGATGTTATTCTCCAGAGCAGAAGTTCTCGTTGGTTATTCAGTGATTCACAGTAGGTTTCTTGAAATCTCTCAATGCTTCAATTTGTCTCATTAGTTAAACAGGAAATTATACTTGTTCTAAATTCCTCATAAGTAATTTTAAAGTACATTAAACTTGTGTTTTTAATGTAAAAATACGATTGCCCAAGCATCAAGTTGGTGATTGAGAAAAGAAAGAGAAACTTATCTCAGTTTGATCAGTTATCAATGAGGAATCAAGTAAATGAATGATGTAGTCTAACACAGCACAGTCAGTAGAACACTGACCAATCCCGTTTCCTATTCCAGAACACATAGGAAGCACTACTTTCCTTCTTTCAAAATCTGGTTGAGCCCAGGTGATGGTATTCTGGCCCCTCAAATGAGGAGAGAAGTATGCAAACTACTTCTGGCTGTGCTCCTTAAAAACACCTTAGACAATATTCCACATTTCATTTACCATTTCACAGGAAGCTCAGAGAGCAGTGGTTTAAGATTCCATGTTCAGAAGATGAAAGGACTCTGGGCTCCTAGGTTATCATTTGGAAGAGAGCCTGCAAAGAAAGCTTCTAAACTTAAGTTGGACAGAGACAGGAAGGAGAAATAAACCTGTGTGTGAAATCCCTGAGACTGTTACTACAACTGAAATTCATTACTCTAATATAGAAATCAGTATCAGAAATGAGGTGTTGACATAACCAAATTGGATTTGCCTCTTACACTATCCTAAACATATAAGTTTTATAGCCCAGCAGCAGACACAAACCAAACTAACACTGAAGAATTAAAAAATAAGAATTTATGTTTAGCAGTGAAAAATCATATGGTATAAATATTGCTACTAAGAAGAGATAGGTCTATGTGCCTATTATATACATTTAAAGAAAGTCGTTAGACAACAAAATTTATTAGTATTATTAGCTACAAGAAAGAAATGAATCAGGGAAAAATTCTTGAGTTTTCAAACATAAATAGAATAGGATATATCTAGTCCAGAAATCTGGCCTTATGTAGTTGGAGAAATAAATTGTTTCAGAACCAAATGATAAAATTTAGAACTAAGAAGAATTTAAGTGGCATATATGGTGATACCTTAGTTCACAAACTTCATTTCTTCCATAATTCTGGTTGCAAACCAAACTGGATGAAAACCGAATCAAATTTTTGCATAAGGTCAACATTGAACCTAACTGTGGAATTTGATTTCGTTCTCATCCAGTTTGATTTCCAACCAGAATCATGGAAAGAATGAAGTTCATGAACCGAGGCACCACTCTATTCTGTAAAATTCTCAGTGGAATGAAGTGATTTGAAGCAAAAATCAGCTCAGGAGTATGGCCTTCCCTCCTTTCATTTCTGATAGCCTCCATGCTGATGCTGAGAGAAAGGACTGAAGGTGAAGAGGTAAAGGAAAAACAATAAATTTGATAAGAAAAATCTCTAGAAAATACCTCTAGGTCTGGTTACTGGCACCTGGGCCTGACTGAAAACAAGTAGATCATATGCCTTCTAAGATTTTGAAAAGTGTATTGCCAAGGTACCCAGGGGCCCAGACTTCCAAACTCTTTGTTTGTTTAAGGCCTAAAACAATGTTTGCTTTTCTAACCCGTCCCAAACTGAGTAGAGACCAAGCTCCTGGGGTTGCAGGAAAGCACGTTTCCCCAAACCAACTACATGTAGCCAAGATGAAGAACAAATAAAGGAGCCCACCCAGAGTTGAATCCACACACCTCTGCTGTACCTAGATAGAAAGGGCTGTCCTGTGCTGACAGCGATTCAGCATGGCTACAGACATGGTGCTCTGTGCTGTGATTTCCTTTTCCATGGTGCATTTTTCCCATTTTCTCCCCACAGTTCTACATGGGTAGCGATGGTTGGGAGAGGGATATAGATAATGCCTTTTTGACATGCAGGCCAGCACAACTGGAGATGCCATCAGCCAATGATCATGCCAATGATCAGAGGATAGTGATGGGTGGGGCCTGGAGCTGTCTCATTTGGAGTGGGACAAGTGTGTCCTGTAAGAAGAGTAACATGGACATTTGGTGCCTGAAAGTGCAGACTAGGTCCATAAACTTCTAGCAAATCATCACTTTTGTGTTTCTCCTGGGGCACGTAGAACACGTACATCCCCTAGTCTCTTCTGTAGTTAGACCATGGGGTCCTGAGCTGTGACCAATGGAATGAGCAGAAATGATGACTGTGACTTCTAAGCCAAATGCACTCAAGGCGTTGTGTCTTCTCTACACCTTCTCCCATCTGGCAGCTGGAGGAAAAGGTTTCCAAGATGGAGGAGCCACATGATGGGAGGAGCACAGGTTGCAGAGTTGTCACTTACAGGAAGGACACTCAAAAGCACATCTAATCCAGACCACATGTTCATGAGTAAGTAATGGCCTTATATGGGATTGAAGTACTTCTCTTTGGAATTTGTATTTCACTGTAGGGTGCACTGGTTACTGTGAAAAATTTACAATTCTAAATGGAAGACTAGTTCTAAAGGCTGAGGGATTATTTCTCTTGACAGGAGTGAAATCGTCCTCTCAATCCATTATCATTATCATTGTCATCTTCATCATGTTTGAATCAAAAGATACTTTCTGAGTATCTATAATATATTAGGCACCAAGATGGATATTGGAATAGAGAAAGGAATGAAAGGTTCCTGGCTTTCTCCATAATCTGGTGGGAGAATTATACATGTAAACAGATAGTAAAATGAAGAATTATATCTGAACAGTGATGCCAGGACCATGCAACACAGGTAACATTTTGAAAAGTGGATGGTGAGAGATAAAGAGTTGCATGAAGAGAACACAGATAACAGCTTTTAAAGGACAAAGAGGGATTTTTCTAGGCAAATAGGGCAGATAGAAGGCTTCTAGGCAGAGGAAAAATATACATGGAGGCATGTAGGTATGAAACTCAGAAAAATGAAATTGATTTTTACAGTTGGAGATGAAAACCATATATATTATTCTCATCACCAACCTACCAAAAATATTTATAAATTTCCATACAGGTGGCATGTGGATTTGATCCGTAGTTTCCAGAGAATCTGAGTCTGGGGAATGCAAGTTATAGATTAAGTATGGATCTTGTGAGTTATCTCTGTAGTTTGCTCACTGTGGGCTGTGGGCCATGTCATTTGACTCATCTTTATTTCATTAGTGCTGCTGTACTGGAGAAAGAGCTCACATTTATCCTACCTGATTCACAGAACCTTTGAGAAAATCCAGTATGCAAAGTGTATGAGACCTGGTGTAACATCACATACAGTTTTATTTTATTTTATTTGTTATTTTATCTTATTGTACTGGGGATTGATTGTACTTAGGGCTTTTGCACTGAGCTCAGCCCTTTTTAAATTTTTTGAGACAGGGTCTCAGAAAATTAGTAAGTTATCCAGCTGGGGTTGAACTTGAAATTCTCCTGAGTACTGGGATTCTGGACCTGCACCACTATGCTTGGGTTTATTTTTTGTTTTAATTTTTTTGTGGGGGGCACTGTGCATGCAACCCAGGGCCTCATATATGCTAGGCAAGCACTCCACCACTGAGCTATGGCCAAGCTTGTACTGTAAGAAGATGCCTCATGAAAGAGGGTTTCGGGGTAGGACCCAGTGTCGTGACAGTTGGCATACCATCATGCTAAAGACTCATTTTACTTCTTGCTGGTGGTAGTTGGCTGGTGTCCTTAAGCAGATCCTATGTGAGCTTGCCAGGGGACCCACTCAGAAGTGCTGACATGCAGAAGCCCAGGGGGCAGGCTGGACCAGGTGGGGGCGCCGATTCAGTGTTCGGACTGAGTACACCCAGAGCAGGAATCAGGATCAGCACGTAAGAGGGAAAGAAACATTTCTGCCCAAGAGTGGCTGGCTTTAAGAGTGAGTGGGAAAGGCTATAAGAGGGAAAATAAATCATCAGATCTGAAGCCAAAAAGACAAGGAAGGAATAAGTCATGATGTGGAACATAAGTGGTATCTGACAAGGGTCTCAGACTAAAGTTTCCAGAAGTGAAGGCATCGAACGCTGGCGTCCACTGCCTGGGTGAGGGGCGGGAGAACATATGCTTACACACGAGGGGTCCAGGCTGGGACCTCAGTCCTGACCCTGAACGTCATTGTCAAAGTCCTCGGGCTTGAGAACTCCAGGTGAAACAAACACTTAGCAGCTGTTTTCCTGTCATCTGCTACCCTCCCCATTTCTAGAGGGCAAAGCAGAGACTCATGACCTGGCAGTGGCACTGAGGAGACTATGAGGAGACCATGAGGCAGGAGACAGGATGCCATTGTCCCCCATAATTGGAAGAACGGCCCCAAAGCACTTTATTGTCTCTCAGTGATCATCATGGAGCTGTGACCCATGCATCTAAGCCTGCTGAAGCCTATTTAGATGTCGTAGTATGCAAACTGACAAGGACCGGCCCTCAGCGTTAGCTACTCTGTGAAGCAGGACTTCTAGGTCTTTGAGTTCCTAAATCTGCCTCATCAAAGCATAAATGCTTTGCTATTTGGAGATCTGGTAAACCGCTTCATTTTTATCTACGGAGTGAGACCTTAAAGGCTGTGACTGAAGTGCAGAGCTTTATTTATGCAACCCAGGCCAACGTGACGTTACCTAGCTGAGTGTTCCTGGTGGTGCCTCTGAGAAGCTTAGACCAACTAAAACCCAGCTTTGAGACCCGGGTGACACTGCCACCCTCCCAGCCCATCAGTAAATCCTCCAAGCCTGGCCTCACTCCCCCTCCCCCTCCCCCCAGTTTGCAATGCCCTCTCTTCCAGGAGAAGGGTGGTGGAATTACTTTGTGTTGGAATTAATGGTATAAAGAGCTACCTTCTCATCTGACTAATGCTAATTCATCTCCATCCCCGGTCATTTGCTACCTATTAGAAATAGCCTGACAGCCTGCATCTCATTACCACTGAGGCAGGTCCAGCTCCCAAGAGTAACCTTCTAAAGAGGATGAAATGCATGCCGGTGGCACCTAATACCAGGACATTCACTTTCGTATTTTTAGCAGCATCTATCAGCCCAACATTTAGTGTACTGTATGTACTTTTAATAATCTCCATAAAAGCCTGATTTCCAATCCCTAGGCTCAAGCTGACAGTGTAAATAAAATCACCCAAATCCACAGGGTAAGAGAAATGAAAATGACATGGATTAAAATTTGGTGAAACCTCTTTCTTTTTAAAAATTCTGCTTCCCTTCCAATTGGATCATGACCCTCTGTGTGCTCAGCTTAAGACCAGACGGTATGCTTTGACTTTTATTCCTCTCTACAGCGGGCTTACAGTATTTAGTGAGAGTCTGTAAAGAATGTGTGCAGGGAGAGAGTTAATACCATAATCCCCCATCGTTGGGGTCAAATGCTGAATGGAGCAAAAGAATTAGAAAACATGTTACATACAATGGCAGGAAAAAGGCATCAGCATGCTGTTCCATGAACCTAGCATCCACCACCCGGGAGCAATGGCCCAGAGGTGCTAAAGTGTAGATACAGACGTGTACTTAAGGTATCGCGCGAACACTGAAGACTCGAGCAGAAGTCCGACTGCTCAGATATGCCGGGAGGCATTTGTCACCACTTTTAATTGCTCCTTTCCAAGTATCTGTCTGGATTTAGTTCCTAAGTGACACATTTAGACTCTGAATTCTTTCCAGAGTGGATGGTTGTGCTATCTCTTTCGCTCTGTGTGATCAGTGGCGAGTGGGCCTCGTGGTCAGCACTTGCTGTAACACATCTGTGTCTGGGGAATTCACCCATTGGACAGGTAGAAAATCGAGGCACCTGAGGAAAGTGTTGAACAGTCACCTTCCGTTGTTGAAAGTCAACCAAACCTCCCGGAGTAAGATTACAAGCAAATAAATACCTTCGCACGGAAGTTCTGTAAAAAGAAATGTGCGTGCGCGCATGTGTGTGTAAATTGTGGTTTGCCCATAAAGTTCCAAATTAGGTTTATTTTGAATAATAACTTTCAAACCAGTAAATAGAACAGATAGGCATTTCCATTTTTGTTTATTTTAAAACTTACATACAACAAAATTCACACTTTTAGGTACAGAATTCTGTTTGTTTTCAAATTCCTGCAGTATATAAATGCTGGCACAACCATGACACTCAACAATGTTATCACACTCAGCCCTGTGATGCTTCTAGGTAGTCAAACTTTCTAACCCAAACCTAAAAATTACTGATTGATCCTTTATCCCTATAAATGGAATCATGCATTCTTTGTCTTTTAGGTCTGGCTCCCTTCATTTAGTAAATGCAGTTAAGATTAATCTATGTTGTATTATCAATAATTTATTCAATTTTATTGTAGAGTAGATTTTTTGGGTAATTTTCAATAACATTTCAAGAGATATTTCTTTTTCCAATTTTATTTAGATATGTCATGTATAATCAATGCATCCCCTCTAAATGTACAATTCAAGGTTTTTTTTTTACTGTGGCATGTAGCCTTGTAATGATCACAATAAAATATCGAACATTTTCATCACTCTCTCAAAATTCTTTTGTACCCTTTCTCGCTCAGTCCCTACCCTCAGGCCACAATAGATCCACTTCTATCAGCATGTATTAGATAGGTCTTTTCTAGAATTTCATCTAAGAGATTCATAGAGCACAGACTTTTCACTACCTGTTCCTCTCACTTCAATCTGTGAGACTTATCTCTACTGTGTGCCTAATAATAGATTATTCTTTTTCCTTGCTGAGTAGTGCTCTACTGTTGCATGAGTACACTTCAGTTGGTCATGTGCAGCAGCCTTTTGAGAAAACCCTCAGAGCAACATGAGGTGCCCTCTTGTTATAACCAGTTATGAAGTGGCCTTGATATAAGGGTAGGTTTGGGTGGTCAGGGAGTTTAGTGCCACCACACTGAGGCGCATGTGTTTGATTCTGCAGAGGTGTATTTCGCAGAATGGTTAGGATGATGATCTGAAATCAAACCCCACACACAACTTAACTTACAAATATATTTTCAAACAATTTTGAATAAGAATTCAAACAAGAAAGGCTTTCCTGACTCAAACAGTAGAACAACAAAAACAGCATCATCTACACATTTTATATAAAGCTGAATATACATGTGCCTTTATGGACATAAATAATCGTATGTTGACTGCAGCAAGAGCCTTCTCTGCTCATAAGAGGCCTGCTTCTTGCCCAAGTTCATGGAGGGCAGAGGTCACACCACAGGCCACTACTGCAGCAGTGTGAAAAAGTGTGCTCAGTAATGTCTGTTGGGTTAGCAACTGAAGGGACCAGTGAGTTTTACTGAAAAATTTAAAAGCGCATGATGACTCATTTCAGATGTAACATCCTCACCATTGCTATTGTACCTTAAAGACAGGCAAGAAAGAGAGGTGAGGGAATAA